AATACGTCGTATGTGTATGCAAGACTGAACTGTGAAACCATTCAAGTATGTACGTCATTAGTTTGTTTATAGGCTTGCTAGTTTTGTCATTATTATCAATACATGTGCTGATACAATACAATTCAGATTCACATTTATCATGCAAATCGTAATGACAAAGGTGCAGTTTTATTTTTAAACTTCTCTTCTTTCGTGTCAATCTGATTAAACCAAACTAACAGCCTTTGACTACATGATATAGTATAAATATTGATCTAGTTACAGTAAATTTATAATTAGAAAATGTTGTGTCTATGTCAAGGCATACCTTACAGTTTAGATAAACTCAACACCATGATCTTACTAACCATCATTTACCTGTTGTCTGTTACATCTTGCTTGACCATACTAACTAACATTCTAACAATTTTTAGATTCACGTTTCGTTGCTGTACCCCTTATGTGTAAAATTTAGCATAGCCGATTTCTGATTACTTGTGTACGTACTGTTTGTCTGATGATGTTTTATATAATTAGTTTTCCAATCTTGTTGATGCGCAATGCAATCGATTTCATATACAAGAACGGAGATTTAATATGAATGTCAATGTGACAACTATCCACTAAAATCCAAATGCCTTGGATGTAAGCCACTATAGGTCACTATATGGCCTTCAACAATGAGATTCATTGTTTGTTTTTATTTATTATACAAGACCTTACTTAATTTTTAAGTTTGAACTCATACAGAACCTTCTCAAAGACAAAAAGAAAAAGCATCTTGCCAAGTTCTTTAATTTCACTTTCAGATATATTGATGATATTCTGTTACTCAATTACCCACATTTCATTGAGTACTTCCATCACATATATCCAAGTGAACTTGAAATCAAGGATACTTCCGAAAGTACAAGTCTTTTGATCTTTTCCTCGATGTTAACTCGATGTCTTCATACTGAAATCTATGACAAACGTATCGTATTTGCATATCTCAGTTAAAACTAAGCTCGTGCATGTGTACCCTATACGGACAACAGGGATGTGATCCTTACACAACAACCGAACATCAACAGAGTTATGAGGAAGAACGACTGAAATCGACCCTACATACGTTTTACGGTTACCATAACGAATTGGTTGACCGATACGGTGTGTCGGTATGCTTTTGCGTCTTAGATCTTTTGATTACAGTAAAGTCGTCTGATCTGTAATTTAACCGATGTTGTCCTATTCCCGATTGTCTAATGTCTACTGAGTGTGAATTCGCATGGCGGGTGATGCATGTATGGCAGGAGACGATTACCCTGACGACGCAACTGGTCTCGCTCCTTTTGGATCTCATGCGATTTCTCAGTTTCTGTGTCTGTTTGTTACCTTGATGTATCTCTTCCTAATAGATTTACTAGTTTTTAGAATTTTATGACGTTGAGTTCTATTGAAAGCTGATTTTCAGGTCTGTTATATTGTCGCTTCCTTTTTGACGAAACTTTAAACTTTATTATACCCACTGAACATAGAATACCTACATATTATACATTTACCTTTCAATGAATGACTTGATGCTTGTTCTGAAACGCAATCATGTGGAGTTGACACTTGTAAGAGATTTTCAGATCTTCCAGGCAATAATCTTTGGTTTGACAAATCATGTAGTCACTAGTTAATCAATTCGAACTCAAACGAGCATTTTGATCTTTAAAATGTTAACAATAAATTAATAAGTCATATGACGTTCAGTCTTTCTATTAATTTTAGACATACCCATTGCAATAAACCCAGTACTGTTAAAGCGCATCCTTTGCAGTCAATTAAGATCCGTTCGGTCTTTTTTCAAACTATTCAGTAGTTGTTATTTACCTGTACAAATCAACAAAGACCTGAATTGTCTGAAAAACTACTGAATAGTCCTAAATTGACTGCAAGCACAATTTCGAACATTACTGATTTTATCTGAAAAATAACTTTATCTGTAAACGTTTTAAGGTTCAGACTTAGATGACGGTAAGATTAAAATGGCCTTAAAGATTATAATACATTTGCTAGTACGTTGATCACATCTTTGTCCTTTTGTCTTTACCAAATCAGCCTATTTTCATTTTTTGTTTGTTTTCATATACTCATTTAGCATGGAATTTTTGGTCTATGTCTTATACAGAAGTGTGGTTATTTTATTTTATTTTTTTGGCAAGTTTCGGCAGCAACTTTTTGTTTATTTACCAGCAGTGGGTTAAAAACCGCTGGTGTTGGACTGTGTAAGTCTGCGATTGTATTATCAGCGCAGTAGTTGGTGCTTCGGTACTGTCATGGTTTGTAGCATATTTTTCTATAATTCCCTGTTGATAAATTATGAAATTTCTAGGAAATAAACTTAACCCCCCCCCCCCCCCTTCCGGCATTTTGACCTCAGATGAGTTTGGCTAATTGTAATATATCATATAGCTCCTAACCTTTATACGTATTTATGCATTCCTGGTTTTCAATTGTTTGGAGTTGAGTGTTTCTGATGAAGTTAAATACAGAAAAGCCATTCGGACGCTCGAAATTGATAAAGTATTATTTTCATTGTTGGTATTGTATGTTCTGTTTAGCAGATTTTGGATTTATTTGTGTGCTCCGTTATATCTTTTATACTTTCAGTTGGTTTGAGCTCATTAGTATTTGATGAAATATTTTCAAAAAACAAATGTTGCACACGGAAATTACTCTCGTATGTAATTTGTTTTAACTACCACTGGGTCTTAACCACTGTTAGTGCCGTTTGCGGACAGGACAGTCATCCCCAATAAATATATATATATTAGTTTTGGTTAGGTATGTGTTGCTGAAAGTTATGTTTTCTGTGTAATATTTTGCTCTTGTTGTTTGTCTTGTCATTTTATATTTGGCCATGGCATTGTCTGTTTTTTTTTTTTTGGTCTTATGATTTGAATTGCTTCATTAATATATTTTCACTTTATTAATGTCAATGAAAATCTTTATAGTAGTGATGACCGAACAGTCAATAAACTTCAATGTATCATTTGTTTTATAATACTAGTATATAAGTATTATGGTATATTGACAAATCAAAAAGGTGTCTTGTTACCATGAATGCGAAATGTGTTCTTATACATATTATATATGTTCTAGTGCTTCATGTAACCGTTTTTTTTTTGTTTCTCATTGAATTACAAAGTACAATGATTGTCCATAAGTATCTTTATGATATAGTGCATTTTTCCTTGTCTTTCTGTTGTTGTTTTTTCTTACTTTTGCTACGTTGTGTAGGAAGTATGTCTTCATGTAAATCGCCAAAGCTGCTTGGTACATTTTCCTCTTCGTTACTGGCGATTGACATTACATCGTCGTTTCCCATATCGTCATCATTGACTACTTCTACTGTATCGAAGAAATTGTAAAGAAAATCAAATGTTGGTCTCTCGTTAGGATCCTCATTCCAACAGCGAAGTAAAATATCGTAAATCAAATCTGAACAATCTTCAGGTTGAGGGTGTCGATAACCAGATTTCATCATAGGAATAAGGTCTTGTTTCTTAATTCCTGTCAAAATAAACAAAAAAGGCTATGCAATGAGCCGAAATTTTGTTTTGAAATCTTTCTACAAGCAAAGGAGCTCATCTTCGCTAGCCAAGGGTTACGATCCACTTCCCTCCTCTCCACCCTTGGCGGATTGAGATAGAATTTCGGAGACACAAGGTAATGATTTTCATTGGTTGCAGTCGAAACTCGCTGCATCCAATCAAAAAGCGCCTATAACATGATCACGTGTAAATGTAGAAAGTGAATGTAAACAATTGCCACGTGCTTATTGTGCAACAAGTCTTTACATCCCTAAACATTCGACTATATTTAGTGACAATTTGAATGTTTTTAATCAACTAATAGAAGTTCCTTGTATGTTTCTTGCACAAATGCATGAATGTCAACGTATATTTTCGTTTCCTGCTTTACCAAGTGTGTAGAATCTAGACGCTTCCGTGTTTTTACCTCCAAATTGAAGAGTTCAAGTGCTACCATTGGTCAAGAATAATGCATTCGGAATAGGCGTGACTTTAATCTACCGATAGATGGCGCAACATTGTTATCACAAATGTTGGCTTAATCTGCCAAGGGTGGAGAGGAGGGAAGTGGATCGTAACCCTTGGCTAGCGAAGATGAAAGGAGCTATGACACATAGCTTTGTAAATTATAATTTGATCTATACTTTTTTTACTACACAAATGATATTTAGTTAAATGACTTAAACAAAAGTTTAATGTTCACCTACCAGGGTATGGTTCCTGTCCAAGCATTATTATTTCAACCATTAATATTCCAAATGACCAGACGTCAGACATTATGGATATTGTTTTGTCAAGAAGAACTTCTGGTGCTGTCCATTTAATAGGTACAGGAAATGCTGCATCTAAACAAAAAAAGGGAAAAATGCATATATATCGTTGTATTAAAAATTGTTTACATTATTCCTACCGTTTTCAATCCTCACGGAAGATATTCATGGTTAACATCCATGACTAAAGACTGAGCAACACAAACATCATTCTAAAACTAAACTAAACCCGTTTTATTATCTAATGAAAAGCATTCATTTGCATAGCGAGTGCAAATGATTCCGAGAATCTGACCAAATCAGAAAGTTAGAAAATATCATTTTATTGAACTAGGGAGTCAAACCTATTTTTGAAGAAAACGATGACAAAAATCTGGAGTCGATTATGAAGATTTTTTATAATCAATTCATTGAAGCGTGGCACTCTGTTTACATGAGGCATCGGATTTAACGTCCAAATTCTGAATGAACATGGCTGCGTACTTGTACACCCCACACAGCCAAATGTACGCTCCACTTTGGAAAGGTTTGGAAGAAGACCCAAGTAACCATATTTCTATTTCCCCAGTTACCCTTGGGGGTTTTATAATCAATAAATTCGGGGATAAAACATTACGCCTTTTTTCCTTAAATGAATGGTTTTGATAAGAAAACAACACTTCGTGAACATTAAACGATATAAAACAAATACCCATTTTGAATGTATCTCCATTGATTAGAATTTTGGCCATTCCAAAGCCAGTGATTTTAGCTATTATTCCATCAGCGATCAAGACGTTTTTTGCAGACAGATCTGTATGGACAATTCTTTTAGAATTAAGATATTCCATCCCGTTACACACCTGCAACCAAAAAAGTATAAGATCTTAGGTAGAAATCTAATACGCACTGAAACTATATAGAAAAACAAGATGAGAATACATCGCACTTTTTTCAAAGGTTAGACGTTCGGTATTTATACATCATATCTCTGGGATAAGATGTAAATAACTACATATGTCGAGTGATTTTTATTTATATAGTTAATCATTTATCGTAAAGGGTTTGATTTTCAACGAAAACATATCTGATTGATTCAAAGTATTGGTCGAATCTGTTAATTGTTTTAACCGTAAACACCGTTTACGTTGCGTTTGAGATGGATTGCACAAAACGAAGCCTTTGGCATCGTTATCAGTTTATTTACTTTTCTCTAGGACATTCATTGAAATTATATTTTCTACCATTGTTTTCCTGAGAGTGTCTTTATGCTATGTTGAACTTTGTGGTGTCATTTATAAAGTCGTTCTGCCTCTTTATTTGAACTTAAAAATTGTTTTTGACTTATTCTGCCGTTTAAACTCTTTGTTTGTTCATTTCTTCAAAAAAAAACAACAACCTCCCACCCATTTCTCTTTAAATTCATTTTTAAGGTAAAGGAGCTATGTATGAATTTTGCATTTCATTTGTAACTCAAAGTATTTTTATTTTGTGTATATAAATTTCTTTAACTTCTGATAATTATTTCATCAAGAAATATTATTTGTTATTAATAAGCTGTTTTATTACATGTTTATCAGTTATGTTTAATATAAAGTATAACACATGTATGACTTCGTGCAACAATGTATGTATTTTACGTTAAGAAAGATCATAGCATATACGCATATTAATTGAGGTTCTGACCCATTAAAACCTGAAGGTTTTGGTCAATTTAACGTTTTCAAATTTATTAATTATCATTGTAATTATATCTTGAATCTAGCAACATTTATATACTGATTTTGCTGATTTGTTTCATTCTCAAAGAGCAGTTTGAAATTACTGTTGTCCATAAAAACACCTGCTAAACAAAACTTTTACAACAGCACTTTCTTCATCTTTAACCTCATTGTTATATTGAATTAATGTTTTGAGTAAATTTGCATGCACCAATTACTGATTATGCATTTTATTGCAAAATGTCTTCAATACGCATAACAATGCATGTGTAAAGAAATATGTAAATAAAATTGAACTGGCTGAAGGCAAGATACACTAGAAAACACAAAAGACAAACACCGTCGACAAATACGACAATCGGACATATATTACTTTATAATTTGAAGCTATAATGACAATTCGGGGTGCCAAAGATGAAGATTATATGAGTACAAACTATGATTCACTGAAGTAGTTAAATTGATAAATATTTAGTTCAAATGCATGGAGCCAAGTTTACATTTTTAAAGGTTGATAAATTACCTGCACTGCAATAGAGGCCAGTTCTTCGAGTCTTTCTGATATATAGTGTGACTGTCTATCCATTTTCCCTAGAAACTGCGATAAGTTTCCTTGCGTCATAAATTCCATCACCATGGAAACGGGAGGTCCTACACAAATTCCATAAAGAGTGATTATGTTTGTATGGTTACATGTAGCTAGGATGTTGATCTGTGATTTTAAGTGTGTAAGGGCTGCTTCGTTGTCCTTTGCTTCTTTTACGACAACCTCTTTAGATCGTCCTACTTTTACAGACGCCCATGTACCTTTGAAAAAAAGAAGAAAAATCCATTTAACAGAGAATATATATGAAATAGTGCAAACTGGAGGCATTTAATTTGCTTTGCATAGTAAGGAAATATTGTCACTATCCATAAACTCGACAGATTTGGGGGTATATAGGAATTATCATGTTCGTCTGTCCGTCTATCCATCCGTCCGTCACACTTTTGGTTTCCATATGATAAATAGAGAACAGCTTTTTGAAATTCATTGAAATTTTAATGGAATGTTTTGGACCACTAAAGAGATGTTAATTTTCGTCGATTCACTTTTATCGTCCAAAAGTTATCAATGATACTTGTTTTTGAAAAATTAAGTTTTTGTTTGTTTCCGGATAATAAATGGAGTATCCCTTTTTGAAATCGGTTGAAATTTTAATGGAACGTGTTGGACCACTGAGGTCAGGTCGAGTTCAATTTTCGTCTTTTTGAAGAATGGTTCTTGTTGTTGGAAAAAACATTTGGTTTCTTGATAATAAATTAAGAAACTCTTTTTCAAATTGATTGATATTCTAATGGAATGTTTTGGACCACTAAAAATATTCTGTTTGATTTTTGTCGTTTTCATTTTAGTCATTCCCGAGTTATGGTTCTTGATTTGTTCGAAAAATTAAATATTTGGTGGTTTCTGGATGATAAATGTAGAATGACTTTTTGAAGTTGTTTGATATTTAATGGAATGTTTTGGACCACTAAACAGAAGCATTTTACCTAGGATTGTTTGTGGTTTCTGGATGATGAATGGAGAATTACGTTTTTGAAATTGATTGAAATTTAAATAGAATGCTTTAGACAACTACACAAAAGAATTTTTACCACCACTTTAAAAAATTTAACGTGAATTTCTGTAGTATATGAATTTTATTTTAAATTCCTTTCAAAATTAAAATAAATATTTGCAGTTTGTTTTATTTCACGTTTTCTAAACATCAGCATTCATGCGAGCACCTTACTCGAATTAAAATAAGAAAAAGACAATATTCAGGTCATCTGTATCTATGGTCACAATTGCGCTCCACTATTTTATCATATTTATATAAAATGGCATAACATTAGGCACCAAAGAATATTTGAGAGTATACAGAAAAATTGTATGCATATACGCTTACATCTGAACTATAGTAAAACATTTCACAGTATGCTGCTACAGAAACCAAACCATTATCTCTAAGTTGCTACGGGCGAGGGTATCTGTGGTACTAGATAAGTTCTCTATGGTTTTAAATGCTTTCGTATACAAGTTGTTAGTGATAAGTGAAGTTCAAATACATATTGCATACTTTAAGTTTTGTATGCTTACGATTAGTACTTTTTGAAGATTACAAATATCAAATACAGTGACAAATATTTAATGCAACATATTTCTTGAATCTAGAAACATATTTTATGTCATGGCTGGCTTTTTAATTGAAGAAAAAACCACTGACCACAAAACCCTACCTGATAAACTTAAACTATATACTTCCCTTTTCAAGTTAAGAGTACATTGTACACCAAACTTCTTACCTTTAAACACGTCAGAAAATTGTCCACTTTTAATTTTCAAACCTTTCCTTATTGAAGCGACTGGTATTTCTAGTACGTTTACAGTATTTTCTTCTGGAAATTGAAGTAAAAAGTATTTTAAAGATTTTTTTTTAAACATGACAAAAAAACTATAGTTTTATCAATATTGAGTCGTTTTTCCTCGGGTACCTTTAAAAAAGTAATATTTTCTTTCAACATTTTACAGTTATTTTGATAACATGATTTGGTACATCATATATGTATAGATTATTACATGGCATTTTTCATATCAGACCCTTTATCGGCCCTAGGTCGTGATATCAGCCCAAGAGCCGCAGGTTCGAGGGCTGATATCATGAACGAGGGCCGATAAAGGGTCTGATATGAAAAATGACATGTAATGATCTTTTTATCATATACTTCCACCTTTCCTGTGATGGTTGCCCCCGAAAACATGTGCATAGTTTTTCCTTTAAATTGTCAAGGACAATTTCTGGCATCTCATTCATGTCTTTCAAAACATGTTTAATCTAAGAAGTATACTTAACAACAAAATTATTTTCATTTACCTGTGTATAATATGACGCAGGTTTCTTCAAAAGTGATGATTTTCTATAAATTGTTTGAAATTTCACAGTGATATCATACTTTAACTTTGTTTAAACCTGTTTATTTACTTTTGACTTTAATTATTTATCCCTTGTAATTTTTTATTAACTGTGTATTTGCATTCAGGTGTCACAGGTCAAATTTATTCGTTCATTGTGTGTTAATTTACGTTTTTTGATTGAGCTAAGCCTTCCAATCGATATTTTATAGTGTGTTTTTCTATGTTGTGATGTTATACTATTGTTTCAGAAATGGGAGAAGGTTTGGTACCATTAAAACGTTTAATCCCGCTGCAAATGTTCGCACTTGTCCTAAGTCAGGAATCTGATAACAGTAGTTGTCGTCTGTTTATGTAGTTCATACGTGTTTCTCGTTTCTCGTTTTTATATAGATTAGACCGTTGGTTTTTTCCGTTTGAATGGTTTTACACTAGTAATTTTTTGGGGCCCTTTATAGCTTGCTGTTCGGTGTGAGCCAATGCTCCGTGTTGAAGGCCGTACCTTGACCTATAATGGTTTACTTTTATAAATTGTAACTTGGATGGAGAGTTGTCTCATTGGCACTCATACCACATCTTCCTATATCTAATTAATCTTAATTCATTTTTGCTCCTCAATCATTTTGTGAAAAGTCTTAAATCACTTGCGGTTTTCCGCGCTGTGTTGTCATTTTCTAACAAATTTCCGAAAATGCACGAAGTTGCATGTGATAAACGTCACGGACATTAACGGAAAGGCATGTGATAACATTCCGGAAGCAGTCAATAAAGGTTCGTTTATCAGCCCGCCGAGGAAATTCTTAGGAATCTGGTCAATAAACATAGTAATCCTTTCATAGCCTTTTAATATTTTTAAATGTTATTGAACTGTAAAATTTAAGTAATATTTTATACAAGTATATGATAAACATATTAATTTACTGAATTCGAAATTTTACAGTACATGACAAGTGTTTCTAGAACCATCGTAATAGACACTTGAAGTCAGAAAGCAGCCAAACATATAAAATGTTTCGGAGCATCAAAATGAAAGGGAGTAAAAATCGATCACTTAGCAAGTTAGGCTATCTTATTCAATCTATATGCAGTTTCTTAACGGAAATGGCCTTTTTTATTTGTTATTCTTAATATTATTTTACTTTTTACCCGCATGATCCAAAATTGTTTGTTCTTTTGTCATTCGAACTGGAGGAGGAGGAGCAGAAGCGGAAACTTCCGGTTTTGAAGTCTGGTATAAAGAATTATATACAATAGGACATGGTACCACTTCTACACTGACACTGCCAAGAGACTTCATACACCAATCTGTTGCATTGTCATACTTCATTGACATTTTAGTTATCTTAGAAATGGATGTTTCTAATTCATCTGCTTTTGTACGGAGATCCTGCTTTACTTTTCGTAGCTGATGATATCCTTGAACATCTGATGCAAAACGTTCAACAAACTTGAGTTCCTGGTCACTAACTTCTGTTGCCTTTTGTATGTGTATCATAGTTGCATCTTGAGCTTTTACTTTTTCTTCAATAACTTTCTTCTCTTTCGCAAGGTCTTTCTTCAAAGATTTGTCTGCTTTATCGAAAGTGTCAGTTGCTTGTTTTTTCGTTTTTGATAAACTATCTAAGATTTCCCTTTCTTGGTTTTCAATCTCCCGCAAGTTTCCGTTTCCATTTTGTAACAATTTGTCGACTGTACTAATTATATTTTCAATTTCTGCGGACAATTCTTCAATAATAGGGGAGGATTTTATATTTTTGGAAGCTTCACTCAAAGGTATAACATTGCCACAGTTTCGATGTGCTTCTACCATGCATGAACGACAACAAGTCTTTTCGTGGGATTGACAATAAAAATCAAGTAGAATGTCGCAGTGAATATCACAGAACGTTTGAGTTGTGATAGTAGATGCTGGTAATGAGCTGATTTCTTTCGTATCTAATAAAACATGGGATAAGCTCAGTTTATTGCGACGGTGTGCCCTCGTACAATCGGCACACAGCGCTTCTTCACAGTCAGTGCACCAAGTCGTGGCACAGGCTTCCACTTCATCCCTTGAGCAAGGATCACACATCTGTTCTGCCATGGTACTCTAAAGTCGAAAGTATATATATCTAATGTACATTGACGAGAGGCGAAGGATACGAAAGGGACATTCAAACTCATAAGTCGAAAATAAACTGACAGCGCCATGGATACAAAAGAAAAAGACAAACAGAAAAACAACAGTACATAAAACATAAAGAACCAAAGACTGAGCAACACGAACCCCACCTAAAGGGGTGATCTCAGGTGCTCCAGAAAGGTAAGCAGATCCTGCTCAAATTGTGGCACCCGTCATGTAGAAGTAATAAATAATCATTTTATCTATTTTTTTTTTGTTTCTAAAAGAGCAATTAGTTTTGAGAAAAACAGGAAAAGTGTCATTATCTTAATTTTGCAAATTGCAGTATAATACTTTTAGAAAAGGTTTTATGGTTATGGATTTGAAAGGAAATCATAATTGCCTCTATTTTTTTTTTTTTGTCATCAAATTGAAACCTTAGCACAGCTTTTGTATGGCAGCATGAATTGCTGCTCTATTTTGTCTACTTCTGGTTTAAAACATCAACATTTTGATTGTAAATGAGAACACTTCTATGTAAATATTAATAATATGATAAAATTGTTAACGGTTGTTTTATACAGCCAGACTGCTTCCTATTCGAGATAAATAATTAAAGTTAACAGGATCATCACATCAAATAGGGTGGTACATTTTGCGTTACAGCAGGTCATCTTTTGAACGAAAAGGAATGTGGTTTTGTACGTGTTGTAAACATTGCACTCTCCACCTCCAAAAAGGGGGATCGTACAGGAGAGTGCTAGACTGAGAAACTTGCTGTCTTTCCTTTTTTTGCATTGTTCAAATCTTATTTCCATTCGCACAATGTTAAAATGAACTAAAACGCATTGAAAACTCATAAGAAAGTGGTACACTTAAGAGGCTAAGTAAAATATTCAGAATCTAACACCGCGGAAAGATGGCTTGATAAAAACAATCTCAGCCATTTTTTCTCAAACGAGAGATGTTTAATCTTAGACATGGCTTGTTCGAGTCTTAGACTCGAAATATAATTCGAGGCTGTTTGAAATTTTTAAGTTTTGCTTTCCTTGAGTTAGTTTTTTTTTCTTTTCTCGCCCAAATGATTGCAAAGAAAGTTCAAAACTGGCTAGAAAAGGACCGTCAAAGATGTTGGTTCGGAAATACCTCATATCATAGCAACCACACAATAGTAATCCCAAAACAGAGTTAGAAATAACAATCAAACAATAAATTACTGCATGTACATACATCTATATACATATGCAACATATTCATAGTTAACTAAATACTATCAACTCAAATTCAAATAAAAGTATTTTAACTATTTTCAAACTTTTGTGAAGCAAAATCAAAAATATTTTGGATGGTGGCATGATTGATCACAAAAAGCATTTGAAATAGTTGTTCTCAAGTTTATTGACTTACCTGTGAGTTAGAAATATTAATATTAAACCAAGTGAGAAATTATCTTTTACAGTAAATATTGCAAGGGTCGTAAAGTATGTCTTCCTCATGCAGAAATCATATGCCTACATTTTATCTAATCTAAAATTAACAAAATAGTCTTATTTATCTTGCATATATACACACACTAAATATTTTCAGAAAACTTAAGTCTAGTTTAGATAATATCAAACAAACTTGATAATATACTACTAGTGCATTGTACTATACTTAGCAAAAAGTGATGGGTTTACCGTAATTTGTTGAAATAAGATTAATTTTATCATTTAAAAAAACAGACCGTTAATTGTGGAGCTCCTGTGGTGTGCAAAAAGAGGAGAAAATTAAAGAAAGTGTGATATACCAAATAATTTAAGGCAACAGATAGTACAATCAAAATATATATGTAAAATCAATGATTCTTCATATTTTTATTTTCAAAAAGTATCCCTGAAATTCAGAAGTTATCTACTTTGTCAATGTCTCGGGATGTGTACGGATCCCATATTTCAGCGCAGAACTCCCGCAAAACTAATCGAAGCAGGCAAATGTTTGCCAGTTTTTTTGTGCTCTTCATGGGTATTTACACATGTTTCTTCTGATGGAACCTATATAACATTTAGTTTTACTGGTCAAATTATATTGCTGATGTGCCTGTTCCATTTAAGGTCTTCCGAGATGTTATGATTAAGATATGATTTTAAATCTTTACAAATTGTAAGATAAAGACCTTTGACCCTGTACTGCCATCGCGTTCTTTATGTGAGATCTTGTTCGACTATTTGAATCAAACCAAGGCATGTTTACAGAATGCATTAGGCTATAGCTCTTTTGTGAAACCTTGGTTTTAGAAATAAGGCTAAAGATTTCAATGAATTAAGTCGTATTAAAGATGCACAACTCTCATATTAGACACAAACATCCAAATTTCATTACATTATAATCATTTTCGGACGTTTCCTTTCAGTGCATCTGGCCGCAGCCGTTTTCAGGGGCCAAAATCTCTGGGCCAAATGATGTTGTATAAAAAAATGTTCTAAAGCTTTTTTTCAAATATACTAAATATTTTACTAAATTAAAAACTAGAGATTTTTTTATCGACATTTGTATCGAAGTTTTCAGCGTTCATTCACAGAAGCTGAACAATACCACCAGACTGAATAATTTCCATAGACTTTCAAGACTTGAATTAAAAAAATGAGAAGGTGCATCTCTTTCCGATATACCTTCTTCTTCTTCTGTTAGTATCATCCTTCCATTTAGGAACACCAAGAATTTCTTGTAACAATAAACGTCTAATATAATTATTATTACACTATTTACAGGTTCTCCATAGGCCCTCTCAGGGAAATATGTACATGTATACACGACCCAAGAGTCGCTCAATACTATTCTTTAAAATCTAAAACTGGTCTCAACACTATAAGTAAAGTTTATAGAATAAAAAGAGCAGACTACCTTGCCATCACCTCAATCACTGATATATATATATATATATATTAAGACAAATAAATAATATATATGTTTTAAAGTTACTGATCACTTAGAAATACTACAGATTAGATGATCTTGTCCCCTTGGTAATTGTGGATGTTATTCTGAGTCCTTCCAACAATTTTAATCTTTTAATATATAGCTGATGACACAATTCAGTAGATATTTTTGTAATGACTGTTATTTGTTCTGTACTAAAGTTTTCACTAAAATTTGAGCAGTCCAAAATCAGAAGCAAGATAGATTCTTGGTTTCCAAAAAGTTCAAGCCATTTCTTTTCACCAATTAAACGAATAACTTCTACTTTCAAACGGCTGTGGTATAATTGTCTAACACAATGAAGAGCTGGACATTCTAACAAAATACGTTTAATATCCTCTGAGTATATCGCACATAGCTGGCAAATGTGATCAGATTTTTCTATTTTAAATTTGTATCTAGTTGCTTGCGTCATAAATGTGTCAGTCAGCATCCTAGCTTTAGTGATGCCCATCTTTACTTCTGATACCATTGAGCAGAGGGATTTCCATAATGTATGAGGTGTACCAATAGCAAGTACCTTTGCATTTATATATTTTAGAGTTGATTTAATTGTCAATTTCAGATTTAAGCAGGTTTGTCCATGTCTTCTGAATTGCACATTTACACTGATATTTAAATGCTAATTTTGATGGTTGTTCCAGTAATAGAGTATCAATATCTGGTAACTTATAAAATTCGAGAATTTTTTGAATTCTACCAAAAAAACTGTCACAGTTATCACCATTTACTGCACGTTGTCTCAACAAGAGATTTCTTATTGTTGTATTATCACAAGTGAGAATGTAATGTAGAAGACTAAGATGCCTCTTATGTATCTCTGCATCTATTGGTAGTGCACCCAATAGTAAATAGACTATACATGTTGCCGTACGTGTGGGCAAATATTGAAATCGGCGCAAATTTGGGATGTGAAACCTTTTCAAGATGTCTAATTGAGAATTATTCAGTGGGAGAACTTCCAAACCATATAATAACTTCGGTATGACGTAAGACTGGTAAATTTTGTAAGAGACAATTGGATTTATACCATTTGAGACGTGGAGGCCTGTATTAAGTAAGGCATACATTGTCCTTCTAGCTATACTAATACGATCCTCTATATTTAATACATTTTCTTTCAGTTCTGACCTAAGAATACCGAGATGCACTGCTTGGTTGGTTGGAGATATGTCAGAGTCTCTAAGTTTCCAGTACAATGAAGATTTTATACTATTTGATTTACTGAATACCACTGCTTTATTGGTCGTTGTGGGGTGAATTGAGACTCTATCTTGTACATGTTGTAAAGAATGTCTATGTAAAGTTGATAACATACATTGCATAGTTCATCAGCATATCTCAGTGGGAGAAGAGCGATGTCGTCGGCACACGTTGGACAACCCATATAAATGTTTCCTATTCTGAAACCAAGCCTTGCATGACATTTGTAATTCCATTAACAAATTGTTGTTATAAATTTTATATAGCAAAATCCCGCCTTGTCTCACTCCCTGAAGTATTTAAAAAGTTGTCGCTAATTCCACCAGCCCATCTTACTTTTGAAGTCATACCATTATATAGATCTTTTACGATAGTCCAGATCTTAGGGTGCACCCCTGTTTCGTACAACTTGTCAAGAACGATTATATGGGTGACAACATCAAACGCCTTCATACTATCAACTGTGATAAGACATAATGGTGTAAGAGGAGAAAGTTTGCTCTCACATTTTGCTTCTGATATTATCAATGCAGCAAGTAGCATGGATAGGCCTTTTGTGAAACCAAACTGAAGCGGACTTTGGTCATTTCCAAAATGTTGTTCGATTTTTGGCAGTAATACACATTCAAATAACTTAGTGAAGACAGGAGTTACAGTTATACCTCTATAATTATCCAAAATAGAAGGATCTTTTTATTTCTTTAGAATTGGTGCGAGTATTCCAGACTCAAGTTTAGTGCCTCTGGGAAGGCACCATTATATAGTATTGAGTTAAATGTCTTTGTAATAATCGGAACTAAAATGTCTCCTGCTGCCTTCAGTTGTTCAGCACATATATGAGGGGGCGGACAGGGGGGTACATTTCTCCTTTCTCCCGCCCCTTTTCTCCTTTCTCCCGCCCCCTTTCTCCTTTCTCCCGCCCCCTTTTCTCCTTTCTCCCACCCCCTTTCGCTTGTCTCCCGACCTCAAACATGAAAAACTAATGTATAGAAATCTCGTTTTAATAAAAATCGATCAAATTTGTTGCTTTTTTGATAGCTAGTCCTTGTCTTGTCCTTTCACAAGATAGAAGTATTGTTTCTTCTTCTTCAAGAATCTCAATATTATTTTCACTGACTGTTAAGCTGTCTGTTTGCATTGAATTTGCAACTGAGTTTGATGCACGCCGTTTCCCGATGAATTTTTTAAAAGTAGAAATCCAAATGCTGCTAAATAAGAAGAAAAAAATATCTGTTATTGGACTATTCAAAAGAAATTCGATATGATTTTGGAAGTATACCTCATGAGGAGAGGCCTACGTATACATGACCATAACCAAAACACCTCGTTTAGTATAAGAAACACAGACCAGATCTGCATTTCTATTCTAAAAATACAACTTCTGCTGTTGTCTGTTCTATGGTCGGGTTGTTGTCTCTTTGACACATTCCCCATTTCCATTCTCAATTTTACACACACAATAATTATACTACAAGCATGGAAATGTGAATGTCTTAAAAAATATGAAAATAAATTCTGAAAAATGTATTCCACAACAAGAAATATGTATCATATGCTGAGTATACCAGCTCCAAATTACTCTAAATATATGCACATAGAAAATGGAATTAATTACGAAGGATTATAATAAGATATACTGGATTGGTCCTGGACCTGATTGATTTTAATATAGGTTCAAGTTAATTTACGCTTCGGTATACAGGGATGGTTGTATTTTTTGTTTTTGTTTGAGCTGGACATGCTGTACAGGTACAGATGATGAAAAATGCACCATTTCATAAAACGGTGAGTCAAAACGATTCATATATGATTAACAAAGGTGTCTTTTTGGGGAGGGACACATTGCTGACATGACTCCATGAGCGTCGGAAAAAGTCCGAGGGTAGTTACGATCTTTAAAAGAGATTTTATAACAAGTACATATACAAGTATGTATGTTAAATAAAAGTGTTGTAAATGGAGATATGGGAGATTCAATAAGACTGCAACTGGCCAATTAACGACACACAAAAACCAAAGACATCTAGATAACACAGGACAAATGCAGGATGGACGAGAATTTTTATACTGCTAATTTGTAGATTTAGAAAAGATAATTTGGTCCCTTGAATTTGAAAGTTAATAAGTATATTTACTATAGTAAGTATAAAATCTATCAAATGATAACATCACACGTTCACAACAACGACAAACATATGTCAATCTCGGTAAGGTATAAATTTGTTAGTCTGTAAACAACTCGTATTTCAGAAGAAAACTCAAACCATTATGAAATAAGGAGATGTAGTGCCTATGAGACATTTTTCTATCAAAGACAAAATTATGTTTTGTCACAAAATGCCTTATAAAATAGACCATCATCAGATACGCTTAATATATATTTTGGTCCCGGAAGCATACTGTTTTACCCGTGTCCGTATGACCGCCCGTCCCTAACTCGGTATATATAACTGAGGGTTTATTCAGTTTATTTCTTATTGCTAAGTTTTGAAGATTCAACTTTAAATTATGCACCAGGTGTTAGTATATATACCAAAAGTGCGCATATTGTCAGGATTTTTGTTTGTTTTTTGTTTTAAATGTCAGGTTGCTTAATTTGGCATTTTGATAATATATAAATGCACGCAGAATACATAGCCCTGCTTACTCCTTCTATACGACTACACGTACAATTTCAAGCTTGAACTTTTATATTGCGCCGAGTGTTTTACTTATATAGAGAGTGCATATATATTCTCAGGATTTTATATTGTATAATTTTTCACGAATGACAGAATGTTGAACTTTGTCTTTTCAAGTGAAATTTTGAATACAATTTGTAAGGTGCCTTTATATATTATCAAAATGTTAAAATGAGCAAACTCATTACAAAAATCACACGTTTACTCCATACAGTATACTTGATTAAGAATATGTATTTCATCAAGATATTGTTTGTATCTATCATTTTTTACAACTAAAAGAATGTTTAACCTTTTTTGATGGTCGCATTAAATGTGTCTTTTAAACACAACTATTTCTAATTGTATTGAATCGTCCTAAACATGCATGAAATATTTGACACACGGAAGTTGCGGTGGCATCACCCTTGTCTAATTTGGCTAGTAGGGTAAGTTGGAGATTTGAATTTCTTTATAAGCTAATTATGCACCCGTTTGGACGAAATGTAAGTAACCGGACAGGGGAAATGAAAACAAAATAACAAACACCATTCAGATCCCGTTAGACATATGTTCATACCTCTCCGTAAAAATAACGTTATTTGATATGCAGTAGCGTCATCCCTTTTCTGTCAAATTCTTTGCATATCGGTCAACTTTGACGCAATTTATCTAAAAAACAGGGATGGTATAAACATGTTTGTTTCTATAAATGCACGGATTCAGAATACAATCATTGATATTCTGTTAGTTTTTAGTCTTTTTCCGTATATAAGAGATCATAATGATTGAATAAGTGACGACGCTTGGCGTATTTATGAGGTCGTTTTCATTAAGCCTACTATGACATTTATTAGCACTTTCTTCAAGCTTTGTATTATCTAATTTAATAAAATAATCAATTTCCGGCTCACTTTTATTATTTTTTTATAAACATCTTTGTCTCCCTTACCTACCCCTTTTCTCCTTTCTCTCGCCCCCTCTCTCCTTTCCCCCACCCCCTCTCTCCTTTCTCCCACCCCCTCTCTCCCTGTCTCCCTTTACCCTGTCCGCCCCCTCATATATCAAATTCGTCTATTGCTTTACCAGTACATGCAGTATGTAGGTGATTAATACCGCTCTGGATCTCATTCTCAGTATACCCTTTTTGTGCTGAGGCAGCGTAAAGCAAACATCAATTAATCAATCAAATTCTGCAGATTTTCATTGGCGAAAAATTCAAGTAAACTAAAATCTATAATGTAAGTAAAAATCCAAATAATTACTATAGTACTCAGTTCAGTATTTTTGTGATTTTACTTTTTACTATAGTTTGTCAATTATAACAGGGACAGTCTATACTAAGTATAGACTGTCCCTGATTATAAGAAGCTTTTATTGGAATTACATTACTCTCTATAGAGTTATACATGTCAGTGTTAATATCGAATAAGATTCAGTTTTCAGACTTTATTTTCTCTCTTCCGTAATCGCTGCAGATATTATAATTCATAGTAAATAGTCAGCAAAACGTTTGACACTGATGTCGGCGGTTGATTCAATATTGAAAACCGTAAGATGACAGATTATTTGCCGTCAGCACTTATAACCTTTATGTTTTTAGCATTGATTCCGTGGGGTGTTGATGTTTGGATATTGGCAGACACAACCATTACAACGGTTTTCGGTTTAACGATGATATTTTCCCCAAAACATTTCCTAAGCCGACAGGTGAGCTATGTATCATTATCATAAAAGAGTTCAGGTAACGGTCATCAATGGTCATTGACTTACAATAGTACACAGTCAATGAAATTTTGTATTGTACATCGAAACGGCCTGCAATTACATCGGTTAGTTTGACCCAAATAAATGTAAACATGTACATGATGTATACTATGGAAAAGGGATGGGGTGGGGGATGGGCATAGGCCCGTGGGTCTCTTCTAATATGGAGGTTTACACAAAAATGCTACTGAAATGGGTGCTTTTTTTATTTTTTTCTATGAGGCCTTCCTACGATGTAAAAATACATGAATAACTACATGTACCAGAACCTTTTAAAACTTCTGAAAAAAGATTGGCAAATTTATCTTTTTTTTTTTTGTCACATAATGAAATTTTATCTAACAAGTATTGAAATGAAACAATGCTGATGTGTATAAATACATCTTTCAGGATTTATTTGAAAAATAAAACCCGTTTTGCTATTTATCATTTTTATTTACATACCAAGGTACCAGATTTGGGCTCAAGACATTTGTGCTAAATCAAAAGTGTGTCTATAGCGTCATTTGTGCTTAAAATTTAGGAGTCAAGTTTACATTTGGGCTAATTATTTTTTTACCTGGACAGGTTAAATTTATCAATATCAATATTTTATATGAAATATATAAGATATTAATTAAGTTAAAAAAAAATCAAAAATGCAACCTACATAAAAATCCGGTCATTGGAAAACCATACTAGTTTGAAAAGAAAAGAACTTGAAGTTTTGCAACATTTAATTGGAATGATTTTACAGTTTTTAACATGTTTAAAGGCTATTAGATTTAAATTTGGGACCAGAACCAATCTTTGAGAAAAATCTAATGGATGTTCTTTTTTACAACTTAACATAGCTGTTTCATACCTTCACTTTGTACATAGTTTAAACAATATTTAGTGCTAGTAAGACTTGTCTTTCTCAAGATCACATTTTTTCAAAACCCCATGGTAAGCAGGGTGTTGACACAACAGACACTATGGGTACATAAAACAAGAACATGTTATTAATACTGTATCATTTATTACACATAAAATATTAATATATGACTAAAATATAGACAAGGCGCTGTGTTGAAGGCCGTACTTTGACCTATAATGGTTTACTTTTACAAATAGTGACTTGGATGGAGAGTTGCCTCATTGGCACACATACCACATCTTCTTATATCTATATATGTAATTAACCAATGCATGGTATGATTAGCCCAAATGTTGACTTTAAAATTTATCCCAAATATCTATTTGCCATTGGCTCAAACTAAACATATTTTTATCCCAAATGTTACATCAGTTAGCACAAATGTGCATCACCCCAGATTTAGACATTTTAAATTAAAGGCTAAAAGCTTAAACATTGAAAAAAATGACAGTCAAAGATCTAGAAGTTCCAAATTTTGAACTTCAATTATCTTGAACCAGTTGAAAACAAGACCTGTTGATACTAATTGTAATGCTTTTTTTTATTTAATGTTTACTTATTCAGGGTTATACCTGGTCTATATACCAGCTTTGATAAGTGTTTGGTATTACTATAAATTTTCACTTCTTCATACTATGAACATCAAAATTATTTATTTTGTAAAGATATTTCCTTTCTCCATTTGAACTGTACACGTATACCTAACAACAAAATTATTTTCATATACCTGTGTTTAAAGTAATTGCAAATGGCTGATATTTTTGTTCAAGCTTATTGTTTTTCTTCAATTGTTTAACATTTCACAGCGGTATAACATGTTACTTTAATTGTTCTTCCCTTAGTTTATTTAGATTGTATCATAGATCAAATTTATTTGTTCAGTGTATGTTCACTGGTGTTAATATGTCTTTTGATTGAGTTAAGCCATTTCAGTTGATATTTTATAGTGTGTCTTTCTATGTTGTGATGTTACACTATTGTTTCAGATAAGGGTGAAGGTTTGGTACCATTGAAACGTTTAAATCCGCTGCAATTGTTTGCACCTGTCCTAAGTCAGGAATCTGATGTTCAGTAGTTGTCGTTTGTTGATGTGGTTCATAAGTGTTTCTCATTTCTCGTTTTTTTATATAGATTAGACCTTTGGTTTTCCCATTTGAATGGTTTTACACTAGTAATTTTTGGGGCTGTTTATAGCTTGCTGTTTGATGGGAGCCAAGGCTCCGTGTTGAAGACCGTACTTTGACCTATAATGGTTTACTTTTATAAATTTTGATTTTGATGGAGAATTGTCTCATTGGCACTCATACCACATCTTCTTATCATGCTTATATCTATAGTAACCTATGTTTCATTTTGTGTTTTTTAAAAGATCTCATCGCGCATAACAACATACAAAATGTCTCACAAAATCACAGAAATAACAATAAGATTTGAAACTGTGTTCACTCTATTAAGTTTCAAATGTCTTTTTTCCAGACAAAAGGAGAGTTAGATGATGTTCATCTACATATGTACAGAATGTGTGGTATAATGCTTCTCAGTAGCACTATGTTTGCTTGGCTAGCAAGGAAGTCAAAAGACCAAACCATTACAAGTGCTATACTTTGGGGGAGGGTGGTGGTGAGTATCATCAAAGTCCATTCACCAAATAATAATTGAAACAAAAGAATTAAATGTACAAACTGACCTTTGATTCAGATTAATGAATAAATCTTGACTGTTCATGAAGTTCTGCATATGAGGGTTTAATTTGGGGGGGGGGGGGGGGGGGGGTCTTCATTTCTGTATTCTTTAATTTTTTATGCCATTTCTCTATTCATTATATTTAAGAACCCCTTGTCATTATACACTATTCTTTTTTTCTTTGATTTTGTTTTTTGCCACAATTTTCTTTTTTTTTCACCCTTTATTTTGTAAAGCTGATTGAGACCCTCAAATACAAGGGTTTCTTATCGTCTAGTTGCAAAGTTGCGAGTTGAAAAGACTGAATTGCGAGTTTCAAAAGTCGAGTTGCCAGTTACGAAAGTCGAGTTGCCAGTTACGAAGGTCGAGTTGCGAGTTACAAAAATATTATGTTTCTCTAATTTCTTAAGAATTATATATATATTAACAGTCCTATATATAAGCGATCGTGTCGTCTGATTTTTGAAACAGAATTTTCAGGTTTACTTCACATTAATTTTAATAAACAAAGCATACATGTACCCGAACTTAGTTATACACTGCATGAGGAAGGGTCCCGGTATTTTGATTGCAGGATTTGAAAGTGTTATGTGATACTTATTTATAAGAGTCTATATGTTGCAAAGTCATGCACGCTTAAATTTCTTTCATGGGAGCGACATTGTTCATTTTCTAAAATAAAACTAGATATACTGTAGATATAAGACGAAATGTATACTGTACGGAAAACAAATCAAGCATAAGAAAATAAATCCTGTAGACAAATGAAATATACTTGCAAATTATCGACATCTCACAGAATATGGCACTGTGTTAGGCCTAAAGTAAATACTTATCAAAGGTATCAGGCTTATAATATTTTCTACGCCAGACACGCATTTCGTCTATACAAGACTCTTTGGTGACGCTTGAATAAAGGATATTCATTAGCATACCAAGTGCTAACTCTTCGTCTTTCGCAAAGGTTTAGGGTGATATAGGCACAATTGCACATTTAACTTAGGAAAATATCTCATGAATTAGTCAGAAATGCGATATGCTACATGTATGTGCTTTATGTGATAAATTAAATAATTTTGAACTTTGTTAACTTTGTGATTCAACCCCAAGTGGAGAGTGCATATATATATACCAAATAGTTAATCCAGTTGTTCAATGTATGTATATCGCTGTGTTTTCAGCTAGCGCTGTTATCTGCTCTTTGGTCGGGTTGTTGTCTCTTTGACATATTCCCCATTTCCATTCTCAATTTTACAACGCAAAAATAAGCATGCTATAGATGTCTTTCTATGGCATTATGGTAACTTCCTGGCATAGGAGATCATAATATGGATTTTTTTTTAATTTGGAAAGACATTATTCTACAATAAGCTATACCACTGTACAAAAATAAAGGAACAGTTTTAAGGAATGTTATGGCGTGTGTTTTTACGGTATGAGCACGGAAGCCTTGTCTGTCACAATTTTACTTTTTTACCTGCATGCAGCCTTGATACAAATGTTGTAGTTTCAGATATCAGCTGGGTAATGTACATTTTTGTATGATTAACCCGTTTTTTAGAAAGAAGTTACATATTCCAAAAGTGCGTCATTTGTCTCTTTTACAAATGTATCTTTGACAGCTACATGTATAGAATAAAGAATGGAATTGGGGAATGTGTCAAAGAGACAACAACCCAACCAAAATATACAAGTCAACCCAAGGCCACCAATGGGTCTTCAACACAGCGAGAAATCCCACACCCAGAGGCAACCCTGAGCAGGCCCCGAAAACAAAGTACACTGATCAAGAAAATGGACGCCATTCTATGCTCCAAAATATATAGATAAACCAAAATTAAAAAATATACAAGACCAACAAAGGCTAGAGGTTCCTGACATAGAACAGACGCAAAAATGCGACGAGGTTAAACAGGTTTTATGAGCGCTTAACCTTCCCCCTTCACCTCTAGCCAATGTAGACATATATAACTTAAACGTCCACAATTTTGAATGTCACTGCCAAAGAACAAATTTAGGGTCCCTAACAAATATGACGGTGCTAGCTAAGAAATTTAATAATAATTAAACTACAAGCCATCCTCTGTAATTCAAAAGGCTCTCTGTTTCTTCAGAAAATAACCATATTTTGCATAGTGATTATGTAAGCAATCCATTAATTTTTTTTACACAAGACTCAGATGAAGTCCAAACAACAAAAAGAATCAACAATAATGTATTCAATTCTATAAGCAAACATCATTCAAAAATGTTAAACATGTTAAAGAGGTACACCAAAAAATTAAAATAGTTTTCCCCATTTTCAAGCAAATCTAATTTCGTAACTCGCAACTCAACTTTCGTAACTCGCAACTCGACCTTCGTAACTCGCAACTTGATCTTCATAACTCGCAACTCGACCTTCTTAACTCGCAACTGGACTTTCGTTACTCGCAACTGGACTTTCCTAGCTCGCAACTGGACTTTCGTAACTTGCAACTCGACTTTTGTAACTGGCAACTCGATACTGGACAACAAGTAAATCTCCTCATATATATATATACTAAAATGTGGATTGACATGTACATCATCAGTCTCACAGAATAAAGAAAGACAGGTGAAACATTGCATTTTATTACTCTTTTAGAAATTTCATTCAAAAGAAATGAGTTTTAATCACTGTTCTCCTTGATTTCTTTTTTCATATGTTACATGTATATGAAGACTTTCAAAACAATGCAATGCATACTTATAAATAGCTAAGTTAGTATGACTAAAATATTGATGTATAATAGTTGGATTTAAATGTTTAATGAGACAACCAATTTAAAGTCTGCAGTTTGTGTAACAAAGATAAATTTTCAAGAATTTGTTCAAATTAAATGAGAATCTATGTAGTTGGTGTCAATTTTATTTTCTATGAAAGTCTTTCAATTTGTTTTTGGTCTGTTTGATTACTTTTGCAGGGAGTGTCACTGTATGTAATGGCAAGAATCCATGGTTATTTTCAAGTTTCAAAATCTATCAAATGGAATAAACAGGTAATTGTCAAATGATTAGTATCTGTGTTTTTTTTTTAAACATAGAGGAGTACTGGTCAGAAAATAAGTGCCTTGAACATGTTGAATTGCTTTTACAATCAAATTGAAAGTTTAATAACACTACATTAATTTCTGTTCACCAAATAGTACTAAAATCCTCTTTGTAAAAATTGTGACAGGTGTATTATTTGTTTAATCATTATCATGATTATGTAAATGTTTTGCAGATGACTCCATTTAGTTGCATTCCTAGATCTGGTTATGTATAAGACTTCTAAAGATGGAACCATTTTATATAACTTCTATGTAAACATATTTTTTTTAACTTTTTAAGTTTAGAGGTCAATACAACAAATGATGTTATAAGCATAAAAATATATAAAAAAATATTGATAGTGTAAAAATAAAGTAATATGTAGGAAACACAAGTAAAAAAAATGTACAGTACTTTCCTTATTTATCAATAAGTGACAAGGAAATCAGACAATGTCTAGAGTTTTATTTTTTATAACAAAATTTTGTCCATTCTTTGAATGACACCAAAGGTTGATTTTTGTTAAGTTTTATAAGTGTATTCAGTTTGCAGATATTAAGAGACCTATACTCTTTTTCTTTGCTGTTGTTGTTTCATCGATAAAGTTGAGAAAGGAAAATTAAGAATACTGAAAATTAAATTGACTCTTTTTAACAATAATAGCAGATACCTTTATGATATCTTTCTGTTGCAAAAGATGTTGATCCGAATGAACTTCAGATAAATAAAGCTAACAGTCAATATATACTTTTAGAAACCTGGAAGGGGGGATCAGAAGATTTTAAAATTGAAGGCTATAACATTATAGAAAACAAAAAAAGCCAAAAGACATAGTGGAGGCATTATAGTCACGATAAAAAAACAATTTTACAAGGGGATTTCTTATCTTAATTATGCTACGTCATCCCAGAATAGATTATGGTTAAAGCTTGATAAGTATTTCTTTGGACTTAAACAAGATATATATCTTTGTGCTGTTTATATTCCCCCTTTTTCATCAGCACATTATGATAGTGACTTAGAAAATCTTGAAAATGAAATAAGTTCATTTTTGTCGAGCCTGCGACATTTGTCGCAGAAAGCTCGACATATATAGGGATAGTGATCCGGCGGCGACGGCGTTAGCTAACTTCTTAAAAGCTTTATATTTTAGAAGATGGAAGACCTGGATGCTTCATACTTTGTATATACATGATATAGATGCCTCATATTACGAAGTTTCCGTCAGTCACATGTCCAATGTCCTTGACCTCATTTTCATGGTTCAGTGACTACTTGAAAAAAAAAAGCAGATTTTTTGGAATGCTATATTCTCTCTTATTATAAGTAATAGGATAACTATATTTGGTATGTGCGTACCTTGCAAGGTCCTCATGTCCGTCAGACAGTTTTCACTTGACCTCGACCTCATTTCATGGATCAGTGAACAAGGTTAAGTTTTCGTGGTCAAGTTCATATTTGAGATACTATAAGCAATAGGTCTACTATATTTGGTGTATGTAATGATAGTAAGGTGTACATGTCCAACTGGCAGGTGTCATCTGACCTTGACCTCATTTTCATGGTTCAGTGGTCATAGTTTAGTTTTGGTCTGTTTTTCTAATACTGTATGCAATAGGTCAACTGTATTTGGTGTATGGAAATATTTTACGATGTTCATGTCAGTCTGGCAAGTTTTATTTGACCTTGACCTCATTTTCACGGTTCATTGCTCAATGTTAAGTTTTTGTGTTTTGGTCTGTTTTCCTAATACTGTATGCAGTAGGTCAACTATATTTGGTGTATGGAAATATTTAATGATGTACACGTCAGTCTGGCAGGTTTTATTTGACCTTGACCTCTGCTCATTTTCATGGTTCATTGCTTATGTTAAGTTTTTGTAATGTGGTCTGTTTTTCTTACACTTTAAGCAATAGGTCAACTATAATTGGTGTATGGAATGATTGTAAGGTGTATATGTCTGTCTGGCAGGTATCATCTGACCTTCACCTCATTTTCATGGTTGATTGGTCAATGTTCAGTTTTCCTGATTAAATTTTTTTCTTAGATACCTTAAGCAATAGGTCAACTATATTTGGAATGATTTTAATGTGTACATGTCTGTCTGGCAGGGTTTAAATGACCTTGACTTCATTTTCATAGTTCATTGGTCAATATAGAATTTCCATGGTTTGGTCTGTTTCTTTTATACTATAAGCAATAGGTCATCTATATTCTGTGTATAGAGGGATTGTACTAAAGGTGTACATGTATTTCTGGCTTGGTTTATCTGACCTTGACCTCATTTTCTTGGATCATAAATGTTAATGTGATACTTGTAGTAAAACTTTATATGTAGGACTATCAACATAAAATCAATGGTCAGTATAGTAGGCGAGACATTTCAGCGTGTGCACTCTTGTCTATTGAAGGACAAATTATGTTAATTGGGGAATTTACCGGTAATTCTAGAACTGCAATGAAAGCAGATTACATAGAAAATGACTCAGATGAAATTAAATAATTTTGATGGTATTGACCTTCTTCCAGAGAGCTATATAAATGATATTGAAATCAGAGCAGTAAACCAAGATAACACTTTGAATACATTGGGGAATAAATTACTTGAATTATGTTCGTCCTCAAGGCTACGTATACTCAATGGCCGTTTTTTTGGGAGATTCCCTGGGATATTTTACTTATATGTGTAATACTGGGTTCAGTACAGTTGATTATGCCATTGCAAATGAGAGTCTCCTGCCTGAGGTAAAATACTTTAAAACAAATGACTTTACATATTTATCAGATCATGTTCAAATAAACTTATATATGAATTGTTCTATTATATCAGATACATGTACGAAGAAATGTTTAGATGAAAAGAGATGGCTTTTGATTAAATCGTACAAATGGACAGAATTGTCATTTTCAAAATTAATTGATGTTCTATCAACAGAAAATGTTAAAGAGGAAATTTTAGATTTAGAGATGCAACATTTTCATAGCAATAAACTAGGCATTGATGGTGCAACTGAAAAACTCACAAAAATTTTACAAACTATTGCAGAAAATACATGTAAAGGCATATCTAAACCAACTAAAAAGAAAATGAAAAAAATTAAACAAGTATGGTCAGATAAAACAGTATATGAAACAAAAAGACAAATAAACTATATAGGAAATAAAATCAAGAATAACTTTAATGACAAAAGTTTAAAACCTAAATATTTTGAATTATGTAAAAAACTAAAAAAAAGTGATTAAACAGAAAAAATTTGAATATCACCAAAAACTTTATAAATCACTTTCTGATAATTTTGAAAATAATCCAAAAGAATACTGAAATGTTCTAAAGGCAATAAAAAAGAAACCAAATATTGAAGAAGATATTCCTGAAATTTTAATGAATGAAAATAAAATCATAAAACATTTTTAGGATCAGGGTACACCAGCATCATATGATAAACCCTTTGTAAATAAACTGGAACGTGCATTAAACATTCTTGAGGATAATATTGAATTGAATATGGAAACTGATGCACCAATTACATTTGCTGAGGTAAAACTGGTCATTTCAAATCTTTTAAAAAGTAAACAAATCAGCAGGTCCAGATAGAATTGTGAATGAAATACTCAAACATTCACAACCTGTGATAATTAATTCTATTGTAAAAGTTTTTAATTTGATTTTAAAGACATGTAATTATCCAGATTCATGGACATTATCTTTCATGATCCCTTTACATAAAAAAGGTGACAAGTTAGACCCTAATAATTATAGAGGAATTTCTCTTATAAGTTATCTACCAAAAATTTTTTAATGCCATATTGAATAATAGGCTAATCAAGATTGTTGACAAACAATTAAGTGATTGTCAGTTTGGTTTCAGAGAAAATCACAGAACAGCTGATGGCATCTTTTTATTGAAGTCCTTGATTAATAAATATTTACATAAAGAGAAAAAAAAGATTTATGCCTGCTTTAAAGACCTGAAAAAGGCTTTTGATTCAGTATGGAGAACTGCTTTACTTTATAAATTATGCAAAATGGGAGTTGGCAGGTCTTTTTACAGAGTTATAAAACAACAATACTTAAATACTAAATCATCTTTGAAATACAAAGATTATGTATCAGAAGTTTTTAATATTGCTAGAGGGGTTAAACAAGGAGACACCCTGAGCCCCACTTTATTTAATGTCTTCATAAATGATATTGTAAAAAATTTTGAGGGAAATGATTCAAGTCCCCTTAAGCTTATAAATAGTAAGGTGGGATGCCTCCTTTTTACGGATGATCTTTTGATCCTGTCAGAATCGAAAGAGGGTCTTCAAAACAGTTTAAATAATTTTTAATTATATTGCAACAAATGGCAACTCTCTTTAAATACAAACAAAACAAAATCCATGATTTTCAGTCAGTCCAAACAAAATGGTGAAACATCACATATTTACTATTAGATTGAAGCCAAAGAGAGCGTATCAGAATATTCATTTTTGGGAATGTTGATAGATGTAATGGAAATTTATCAAAAGTACTTTAGAGCTGACAAAAAAGGCAAAAAAAAAAATGTTTTGCAATAAAATCCTATACTAAACCATTGAATAATCTACCTATAAAAGTAGCAAATAATCTTTTTGATTCTTTAGTAAAACCAATTATGACCTATAATTCAGAAGTAACATATTTGGATACATATATTTCTTTTCATAGAGCCATAAACAGAGCCTTATCTTTAGGAAAACAAATTAATCAACTTGATTTTACAGACAAAACCCCTATTGAAAATATGCATCTTAAATTTTGTAAATCTACTCTAGGAATAAGAAAAAATGCATCTAATTTAGGAGCAAGAGTTGAATAAGGAAGATTGCCTATAGAATGTTTTATTAAAACACAAACCCTTTTATATTTAGCTAGACTATATAATAATAATATTAATCCATTGATAAAGGAAGCTTTTTCTCTAGCACAGTCTCTAGACTTGACTGGAACTTATTCATGGTATACATATGCAAAAAATATTGTTGAAGAGACTAATATTGACCTTAATATTCTTTCTACTTGTAAGGACATAAAAGATGTAAATAAAATAAAAAACGATATAAAGTTAAAAATGAAAAATAGATATGAAGATTTAATTGAAACTAAATTTGAAAACATTGATGATAAAAGTAAATTTTATCTATATAAAAAAATTGAAAAAGATTGCAAACTAGAATCTTATCTAAATATATCTAATTTTCAGATAAAGAGATTGATCACTAAATTTAGACTAAGTGATCACTCCCTCTTAATTGAAATGGGGAGATATTTTAAAATCCCAAGAGGGGAACGACTTTGTCATAAATGTAAAATACTAGAGGATGAGAAACATTTTTTACTCTATTGTGATTATAATAAAACACTAAGAAATGCCTTTTTTGAACACATATGTACTGAAAATAATAACTTTAATAACTTAAATGAAGAAGAAAAAATTCATTTTTTTACTAAATCCATCAATGCCTTTACAAACAAATAAGTTAGGATCCTTCTTGAAAAAGTCATTAGAACTCAGGGCAGGGGACTCTTAACAGCTTGTTTGTTTTTAATAATTTTGATGCTGTTTTTTTTTTATTGTGTATGTTTGATATGTATGTATATATGTTTATTGTGTTAATACATGTTGGTCACAAACTGTAAAGTTTATACGACAATAAAATAATTGATTTGATTTGATTTGATTGTCCATTTTTAGACACAACTTTATTGAAAAATTGAGACCAAAATATATGACAAAAGAGACTCAAGTATTTGAAGTGAGCATGCTACAAAGAAACCTCTAAGGCAATCACACGGAATGATTTATTGATCATATGAGAAAGTACATTAAAATCATAATCTTCTAATTTTAATCTGGTGGATCAATTTTGATCTCCTGAATTGACATTTTGTGATCTTCCCTTTGAAAATACACTCAATAACACTGCTAATCAATATTTCTGCCATCAAAATTCATTGCTTTAATAAATGGGGTTTAAAATTATCATATCTTAAATAGAGAATAAATTCATATTTTTGTTAAGTTCATACATTTTAAAAGTTTTTACATAACAGGTGATAACTTTTCATGAAACAATTTTTCTTTGTACATTGTACATGTATATGTTTGTGATGTAATCATAGCAAGAAGCAGTTTTGCTATGTTTGCTAATGTCACATTTGATGTGTTGCATTTTCATTGTAGGCTCTTCTGTTTGGTATCTATGGAGATTGTTTATGGTTGCTTGGAAACTTTATTTACTCAATGAAAGTTACAGATTTTGGAAAGATGACCACTAATTTATCTAAAGCTGATTTTTATCTCAAGTCTGACTTTGTACAGTGTATTATGTTTGGCATAAGTTTCTTTGTAATGCCAAGGTTAATGCTTGGATTTCAGGTAATAGTTGTATACATTTAGATAGAATAAGATCCAGAGTTTAAGATTTTCAACTGAATGAAATAGATTAATGGGTATATGTCCATGCAACAGCAGCCTAATGATATAAATGAATGATGTTTGGTTGCACAATTTTTAATTTATTGTCGGAAATTGACAAATTTAACCATTACCAAGAGGTAATATCTGTTATCTTGGATGAGCTATGTTTTGAATTTTTGGTGAATATATAAGGTGATTAAAGCCTTTAAATATTTTATATCATTTCAAGATTTTGCCATCCCTGAAATGAATTAATTGGTTTGCTATTAATCTACTTACATTCAGAGAGTAGTAGTCTAAGGAAAATTAGATATTCTTCCTATTTGTACATTTTTAGATCATTTATCATTTTTGTTATAAATTTCTTCTGATTCCCAATGTTTTTAAAATCTTATATTTTAGACTACAAGGACTCTGAATCATCTACATTGTACATTGATTAGAATGATGGCGGCATTTGTGTTCAATACAGGAATAATTGCTTGGAAAAGTTGGCATTTTGCAGAGAACATCGATAAAATTTGGCATTTTGTGTCTAGGATTATGGTAAGGATATAGCAGTAGTTTAACGAAAGAAAAATAATTTAAATGTTAAAAAAGTTGATTGTATAAATTATGTACAAGTTTGGATCAACTACAAAAGGAGGACACTTCATGTCATGTCTTTTATGAGCTCACCTGGCCAGTTTGAGCTTTTCTTAACACTTGGCATCCATTGTCTGTTATTTAAGCATTCTTAGTAACTAAAATCTAAATGTGTATGTTAAATTAATTCAAAGTCAATGAAGCATCAAGATATAAGATAGGAGGTCACTTAGTAGTGATATAGAACCCCAGATGCTTAACTTTATGAGTTTTAAATTAAACAAACCAGTATAACACAATAAAAAGATATAAAAGTAAAATGCATCTAAGTTTATGTGTAATTTCATGATAAAATTTTTTAAATTGTATATTTCCATTTATTATAGGGAAATAGTGGACTTGTAACAGCACAGATCTACGCACAGTTTACAACATCATCATGGACTTTGTGGCATATTTACTTTGGAATGATTGGCATGTCCTTATGGTCAACAAATGCTTCCTTTGGGTATTTTATCCTGAAAAACATTTTGGACAAACAAATAAGTATTGGTAATCAGAAACAAACATTGAAACAGGAATAAAATATATAATTTTATGTTTGATATTTGTGGCTGTGATTTTTGTGTGACTATAATCACTGATAATAATGAAAACAGTTTGGAAAAAAACTAGTAATGGTAATCAAAATCAAACTTTGAAACAGGAATAGAATTTAAAATTTTATTTGATATTTTTGGCTGTGATGTTTTTATGACTACAATAATAAACGCAATTGATTTTTTTTTAATTTTGTATCATACATATGGTTGTTGTCCAATTGACCTGTACTCAACATCTTTCATTCAGATCAAAGGAAAATTGCTGGATCCTTTATATTGTAGCAAGTTATCCCCAAGATATTTTTTTTATAAATGCTCTAAATACTAAATATGTAATATTCTTGTTATTTATAATAATGTGCGCAATTGTTAACATTGATATTTATTATATATAAACTACTGTCAGTATAGTACTGCTCTGCATTTATTGTTTATCAGTCAATGAAGTAAAAATTGTGTCTCCCCTTCCACAAAGGGAGACATTGCCTTTTAGTAGTATTTCTTCTTGTTCTACCTCTCATACAATCTTGACTGAGCTCAACTTTTCTTATTTTTTGGCATTGAGTTTTGATATTTGGTATGAATTTGTATAACCCGTGTTGGGATATCAACATGACCTTTGACATCAGAGTCAAAAGAATAGATATTTTGGGATGTTATTGTGTCTGGGACTTTTTATCCTTTGACATAGGTTTTTGATATTGGGATCATGGTACACAATCTCAAAATGATGTGTTTTTTACCATTGAAGATTAAATATGAAAAGATGGTAGCTGCAGGTGTAAGTATGTATATTGAGATGAAAATACAGTACCCCTCATATCATTAAATTGCTTATTAAATAGATTGATTGATTGTTTGTTGCTTAGCGTCTCGTGATAAATATTTCATGCATGTTCAGATGAGAATGAATTAAGAATCAGTACAATTGATAGGTCCTGTAGTAGAGGCTGTCCAGGATGAAGATCATGGAAATTTTAACTGTCACTGGAAAATGAGGGTATCTTGGATAGGGACAGAAATTTTGCCTTGCAACAGGCCCCCTCTCTACACATGGCATCGTATTAAAGGTTTCCATTAACCGGACGTGGCTGCGTATTTATACATCCTGCACAGCAAAACGGACGTGAGGGGTGATCTCAGATGCTCTGGAAAGGTAAGCAGATTCTGCTTCAAATGTGGCACTTGTCTTGGTGCTCGTGTAAGTACAAACTCAGTGATAAGTCTAATTCAGTGATGTCATATGCAGGATTGTGAATACAACAATTGGAACATATTCGTCATCATCTGTTAAACAGATATTCCATGACGGTCAACAACTCAGGATTCCTTCCATAAAATTTCAAAGGGATGACTTCAACTGCCCCACTTGGAACCCTTGTTTTTTTAGCTTCTTTGTAAGCAGCCATCTTCTATCAAGGAAATCATGAAAGGTAATGCAAGCTCTGGAATATCGTTTCAACTTGGAGATATATACTTTGTATGCAGGCACTGCTGGAATGTTGCTACATAGAAATGGAAAGTTCGCAATTGGGAAGCTGTACTCTACCGATTTTCATTGTTAATTTCTAGATGTTAGTCAAGATATGAGGCAGACTTTACTGTATTTTTTGTCTCCTTTTATTTCAAGATCGATGGAATAGATGCATTCAACATAGTCACCCAACTTTGAATTATTTAGTGAGAGGTGGAAAAATATTTGAAGGTCCCAAACTCTTTGCAGATGATCTTCCAGTATGATGCAGCGAAAGCCAAGAGGAAAGCTACCGTTTACCTTCTTTGTACTGGTAATGATTAATATGTTAGACAGAAAGACAGAGTTGTCAGCCTTATTTTGGTCAACTATGTAAACCTAAACTGGTGTTCGTACTATTAAAACCAGTGTCAATTCAGATGTAGCTTCCTAAATGCTCAGTTGAACCCCAAGCTGTTTATTTTAGTTTTCCTCAAACCGCATCGTATTTTAAAGGCAACTAATCTAATCAGAATGACTACACATAAAGTAATCATAGATTGCAAGAGTATTCTCAGTCTCAAATTACCAATATACTCCAGAATCTTGTAAGGACTACAAGCTGCTCCTTCTGAGACAGAGTGATAGCTTAGGAACACCATTTAATCATGTTGATTACTTCTTTTGATAGCTGTGTTGACGAAGAATTATCAGCACTGTTGCACCCTACTGTAGATCGGTCTGTGAGTAGGACAACAGCGTATCAGCCTTATTCCATGTTGAACTATTTTCAATCTACAGCTAGTTATGAGCCTTCCTGTTACCACCAGTTAGTAATCCTTTAATCTGTATATGCCATCTTAAACCTCTTCATCTTTACCACCACCAATCTTTGATTTCCCCAAAGAATAAGATCTTCACCTACGAGGTCACGGTTCCGTCATTACTTATTCACATAGTACAGACCAATAGATGTTGAAAAATTGTGTAAAAAGGCAGTCAGAAACTGAAATTTTGACATACAATATACTGATGATGTTGATTTCTCAATGATCTAGAAACGCTTCTTACAAGCCCAATGGATTTAGTTTCATTAGTAAGATTCATCATTTATCATAACGAAGGGTGGATGAGGCGGATAATTTTCTGCACATTAGATTTTTTTGGGGGGGAGGGGTGGCATACCAACAGTTTCATCACTTATAACACATCCAGTCGCTGAATGGGACAATGCACCTTTGAATCAGCAAACAATCCAATTCTTCATTATCATCATCATCATCATCGTCCTCATTCTTATTTTTTTCATTGACATCGTCGTCCTCTTGAATAAAGTAAACCCAATCTTTAAAACCCTTGATGATTAAGTAAGACTTAAGATTTGTAGTAAGGTACTGGCTAAGGAAATAAAAACCCACACTAATTAGGGGTTACTGAAAATATTGTAATGAAAACTATTTGGTCTTCACATTTTTCTGTATATTAAAAGAAAACCATTCTTTGAATATTTTCAAAGATTTTTTAGCTGGTTAATATACATGTACATATACATTTTCTGAATTATTTAATTAGAGTTATCTCCACTCTATCGTATTAAGCAATATTGACTTCTTTTGGCCTCATAAAATATGTCCGATATTCACTTATGAAATGAAAATAAAACGTACGTCTGAACATTTCCCCCTCCAACCCAAACATTTGAAAGCCAAATGGACATAAAAAAGCCACATTCATCTTAGGTCAACTTATCTGAGAGAGTTCAAACCTTAGTTTCTTAATACTAGTGATTCATTAACGTAGAATATAAGAAAAGTTTATTAAAATTCAAGTCAGTACCAAAGTACTAATGACTTGATGATACCTTCCGGGACTATTAACATTCCACAAGCACTTGTTTCAAAATGATCCTAGTGTCGTTTTCCCTGAAATGATATTGTATTGTAATCTCCAAGCATAGAATTGTCAAATGAATCAAAGAGAATTAACAAATATGATAAATTTAATTGAAAGTTAACATAACTGAATTGTTGTAATATTTTTCATTATATACAATCATGTAGTTATGATAGCTAAGACATTGTAAATGCTAGTTTGATGATAACTGATAAATATTTTACACTTTGTATTTTTTTATTTACACTGAAAAGAATATAAACTTTTATTTAATTTTTAGTAAAATGATGCCAAAAGGGGCCAAGTGAGCTTTTCTCATCACTTGGCGTCCGTCGTCCGTCGTCGTCCGTTAACTTTTACAAAAATCTTTTCTGAACCTACTGGGCCAAATAGTTTCTCTGAAACTAGAGCATTTAGTGCAAATCTGACATGGGGTAAAAAACGTTCATCAGGTCAACATCTATCTGCAAAATGTTCAAACGCATCAGACAGCCCGTTGTTGGGTTGCTGCCCCTGAATTGATAATTTTAAGGAAATTTTGCAGTTTTTGTCGAGCCTGCGACTTTTGTCGCAGAAAGCTCGACATAGGGATAGTGATCCGGCGGCGGCGGCTACGGCGGCGGCGGCGTTAGCTAACTTCTTAAAAGCTTTATATTTTAGAAGGTGGAAGATCTGGATGCTTCATACTTTGTATATGGATGCCTCATGTAACGAAGTTTCCGTTAGTCACATGTCCAATGTCCTTGACCTCATTTTCATGGTTCAGTGACTACTTGAAAAAAAGATTTTTTGTAATGTTAAATTCTCTCTTATTATAAGTAACAGGATAACTATATTTGGTATGTGTATACCTTGCAAGGTCCTCGTGCCCGTCAGACAGTTTTCACTTGACCTCGACCTCATTTCATGGATCAGTGAACAAGGTTAAGTTTTGGTGGTCAAGTCCATATCTCAGATACTATAAGCAGTAGGTCTAGTATATTCGGTGTATGGAAGGACTGTAAGGTGTACATGTCCAACTGGCAGGTGTCATCTGACCTTGACCTCATTTTCATGGTTCAGTGGTTATAGTTAAGTTTTTGTGTTTTGGTCTGTTTTTCTTATACTGTATGCAATAGGTCTACTATATTTGGTGTATGGAATGATTGTAAGGTGTACATGTCTAGCTGGCAGGTGTCATCTGACCTTGACCTCATTTTCATGGTTCAGTGGTTATAGTTAAGTTTTTGTGTTTTGGTCTGTTTTTCTTATACTGTATGCAATAGGTCTACTATATTTGGTGTATGGAATGATTGTAAGGTGTACATGTCTAGCTGGCAGGTGTCATCTGACCTTGACCTCATTTTCATGGTTCAGTGGTTATAGTTAAGTTTTTGTGTTTTGGTCTGTTTTTCTTATACTGTATGCAATAGGTCTACTATATTTGGTGTATGGAATGATTGTAAGGTGTACATGTCTAGCTGGCAGGTGTCATCTGACCTTGACCTCATTTTCAAGGTTCATTGCTCAGTGTTAAGTTTTTGTGTTTTGGTCTGTTTTTCTTAAACTATAAGCAATAGGTCAACTATATTTGTTGTATGGAAGCTGTACATGCCTGCCTAGCATGGTTCATCTGACCTTGTCCTCATTGTCATGGTTCATTGATCAATGTTTAGTTTACTTGGTTAATGTTAAGTTTATGTGACAGTTGTAATAAAGCTTTATATTTAGGAATATCAACATAATATCAATGATAAGTAAAGAAGGCGAGACATTTCAGCGTGTGCACTCTTGTTTGGATATTTTGAAAATTCTAATAAAAGAGGGACGAAAGATACCAGAGGGACAGTCAAACTCATAGAGCCCGTTGTTGGGTTGCTGCCCCTGAATTGGTAATTTTAAGGAAATTTTGCAGTGTTTGGTTATTATCTTGAATATTATGATAGATAGAGATAAACTGTAAACAGCAAAATTGTTCAGCAAAGTAAGATCTACAAATAAGTCAAACATGCATGACCAAAACGCTCAATTGACCACATAAAGAGTTATTGCCCTTTAAAGTAAATTTTTCACAATTTTTGTAAAATT